GTCCTGATCGCTGGTTCCCTGGACGGGCCAGCCAACTACCCCCTGTACAGGTAATGAGAACTTTCTTATCAGAGCCCCGATTACGGTAACTTTTAACGTTTCCAATCCAGACGCGCTTCATCGATTCTGCGATACGATTGGTCAAAACAGCTGACGTACGCTGTTGAACGACCAATCGTATTGCAGAATCGAGAAGCGTGTCTGGATTGGAGACGTTAAAAATTACCGTAATCGGGGCTCTGTTCTGTTAAGCCAGTTGCAGAACAAGAGTTAAGCTAAGTTTGATGATAGCTGATGCAGTTTCCCATACTCATCTATCGACTGTAAACTGTATTGCATGAAAAACATGCACACACTATGAGAACAGGGAAACTAAACTAACTTGCTTAGCTCTTGGTTTGCAACCAGCATTATACTAAGTAGTGTAACTAAGTATATCTTCAAAGGGCAGTAAAAGCATTTTCTGGGAAAGTTCACTCCATGCATGGTCAAAGAAGCCTGCATGTGCCTATGCATCATAAAATATTCCAAATATTATAATAATCATTCTTCTGCTTTGATACAGTGATAAATCTTAGTAATATTTTAGTGTCTAATGCAAAAGCGGATCATCAACATAACTAGGTCAGTCAGACAATAGCAAATCTCGTTATTGTGTGTAGTTAATTCAATAAAAAGATGCTTGCTGTTCAATTTCTCCAAAAAATAAATCTTTTCACAATAACAAAAAAAGTTTTGAGGCCAAACATACTTTGATGTTTTGTTTGATTTTATTTAAATACATAATGAACACTTTTTTTGAAGACAATTATTTTGTTAACACAGGTTTGTCATGCTTGACAAATTAACTATTTCCCTGATGATAAGGCCTTCAATTTGGTCCATTGAACAATAATATGGCACATGAAGGTTACAGGAAAAGTGTGTATAAAACTGTCTATATCAAAACTGCATAGTATTGTTGTTTGTATTGGGTTTATTCCTCTTTAAATGATCTTTAAATAGCAATGACCTAATAATCTTAAAGTCGAACATACTTAAAGTAATTCCTTACTTTCTGTAATATTGTGTATGTACCTACTTTCTAAAATGAATTAACACTGAATTGCCATTTAAAATGCTACTGACACTCACAATTTACAAAGAATAATAAAATGGTTATTATCATCTGAATAAATAATGTACCTATAACATGAATCATATTCATATCATAATACCTGTGGAATGTAGCTTATATATAATTTTAATAAAATGGGTTTTTAGCAAAATTTATGTAATATTAGGCATGAACATGAGCAGGATTAGCTGTGTTCGCTTCACCCATAAGTAGATAAAGCCTGATCAATCATTTAGAGATAAGCGGATACCTGACAAGTGTGATGTACGTATGCACACACTTGAGAAGGCAATACCCATACAAATATCAATTACAAGCTTGATATGGAGAGAAAAAGGGATGTTTTGAACCAACAATATTCACTTTGCAGATTTGTTTGTTATGTATTGTCTTTATTAACAAAGTATCGTTTGCTTCTTTCCAGAGGGTTCATCCACTTGGGAGCGGGTCTCGCCGTAGGTTTCTCGGGTCTGGCCGCCGGATTCGCCATAGGCATCGTGGGTGATGCCGGCGTCCGCGGAACTGCACAACAGCCCAGGTTATTCGTCGGAATGATCCTGATCCTCATCTTCGCCGAGGTGTTGGGTCTGTACGGGCTCATCGTCGCCATCTACCTGTACACGAAGCAGTAAGCTGTCCCCGCGCCGTCCCGCGCCCGCGCAAAGTCGTCGCCGGTAGCGGGCCGGACACCGGCCGCGCGCGCCGTCTCGATGCTGCGACCCCGCGCGCCACGCCGCTACCTGTATAAATATTTTTTCTATTTCAATTTTATAATAATCACAATCTTCGAATCCCAATCATGTACCGACGCTACCGAGCGATGACTGTTACTTTAATTATTAATTTATTACCGACGTATCTTTGTGTTTCGGTGACAGGAGGAATCGTCCGTCGACATATCACTTAATTTGCGCGTCACATCCCTCGCGAATACCATCTGACGATATCACTTTTAGATTATTTTAGCGTAAGGCGAAACTAATGTACAGTTAGAGTAGAAATTTAAGTCCAAACGAGTTATCTTAAATAATTTATGAACCGTTGAAACCCCCGGGTACTATGTACCGATATTTCTATTGCTGAGAAGTTGAGGTCAAACCTGGCTTGATGTCTATCTACTGCTATATAGCTTTCAGTGTTATAGTGGATGTATGTATCCTATTATACTGTTATGGGCCTGTGAATGTTACTTGTACTCTCTCGAGTGACCACTGAGATAAATTCAAAAGCGAGTCACAAACATTGTATTGCCAGGAATCAGTAAATAAACATGATTTGTACATTCCATATTATTTTGTTTCTACTTTATTGTTTTGTGTGTTTTATTTTCCTATCGATCTACATTATGAACGAACGAGTATTAAACTTAGGAAGGCAGCTTAGGGCGGTGCTTTCAACGTTAATATGACACTGTCGTAATCAAATTATCTATATAATATAATAATTATTATATAAAACATTTCTGACGACTTATAATGTGAAATATTTCAAATATATTTATTCTGTATACCTCATAGTCGAAAATATGATGTTTGAATGATTATAAATTGGTAAGTAAATACATCTAGGTAAAATTGTATTTTATTTTAGGTTTCATGTTAGAGAATGTTATAATCTTTGGTGTTATTGAATGAATTGTGTTAATAAAATATTTTGAAAACAACTACTGTAAATTATGAATCCAGTGTTTCTGTTCAATCCAATTTTTTTAGTTTTCTTATGCTTTTTACATTTATCATATTTTTTTTATTTTGGTTTTATAGGTACATACCCTTTCTGAAGTAACATCTTGCCATTCCTGATTATTTTTCCAGTTGGAAAAATAATTTTCAATCGAAAAAAGACATTTCGAATAGGTACACACAACAAGAGAGAACAGAACACAACTAGGGAGAGCACACTGAGCAAATAACGAAATGCTAGGGGGACGAACACTTTATTGAAAACTAGCTTTTGCCTGCGGTTTCACCCGCGTGAAATTTAGTTTGTCACAGATCGTCATAAATTATAGCCTATATGTTATTCTGGGTTATAATCAATAATACCGTAAAGTTTCATCAAAATCCGTTCGATCGAACGTTATCAGGTTACGTTAGATAAAAGGCGAATTTAGTGCATTAAGGCAATGCTCCTCCAGTTATGTTAATCATTTAGCAAAATGAAATATTGTAGGTAGGCTACATTTGCCCACGTGCACTAATCTAAAAAAAGAATAAAAGAAACAAGCATGCCCACACTTGTGATCGAATCAGAAATGAGATCTGCAGAAGAACCACCAGTGAACGACATCAAGTGGCAGTGCGTGGGTAGAGACGATGGCGGCCGTTCGGGCAGAAAAGTTCTCGAGTGGCGACCACGGGCCGAAAGAAAGATGTAGGGCCTCCCACTAGTGGACCGACGATCTGGTAAAGGCATAGGGTTAAGGTCGCGGGAACAGTGTATGCGGGCAGCGCAGGACCGGTAGATAAGGAAATCCTTGGGGGAGGCCCTTGTCCAGCTGTGGACGTCATTTGGCTGAAACGAACGACATTATTTTTTTCGTATTTTTATTTTTTCATCTAACTATAAAGCTAGTATTCATACTAGTTATTTTCAGTAACTCATTTATTTCTAAAAACAAGCCCCGTAAATCAGTGTTGCCAGAAGGTTACTTTTGTAACCTTTTAGGTTACTTTTTGTTGATGAGCACCTTCATGCTGTATAACGTAGAGCTGGCTAGCTGGAACCGCTATGATAGAACTGTCATTTATATTCAAATGTGATGTTGTCTTTAGCTGTGTAATGGCTGTGTCGAACTCTCTATTGTAAATATTCTACGTGTGCTTTGATACCAATATATTTATTATGTTACTACCAACCACTGTGTTTATTGCTCTGTAGCGGACTTAATATATCCCTAACAAGGGTTATGGGCCCAGAACCCCAGAGCAAAGTAACATTTTAAAATAGTTTGTCGTAAAAATAATTTCGTATAAAGTGACGTGAACAGAATGTCGAATGTACGTATTGAGTTATTGAGGTTTTCTTTTGCTTTTTACATTTACCTATCATAAATTTTTAATTTTGGTTTTATAGATACCCTTTCTGAAGTAACATCTTGCCATTTCATTCCATTCCTGATTATTTCTCCAGTTGGAAAAATAATTTTCAATTTCGAATAGGTACACACAACAAGAGAGAACAGAACACAACTAGGGAGAGCACACTGAGCAAATAACGAAAGGCTAGGGGGACGAACACAAAGCTTTGCCTGTTGGGCCTGTTGCGGGTTCGATTCCTGTAGAGGGGTAGATGATGAGAAGGCCCTTTCAATGCGGAACGTCAAGGCAGGCATTTATTGAAAACTTGCTTTGCCTGCGGTTTCACCCGCGTGAAATTTAGTTTGTCACAGATCGTTATGTTATTCTGGGTTATAAACAATAATAACATTATTCTGTGGCTCGAGTTTCGACTGGCGCGGCAGCCACATAAAAAGCCTAACAAAAGCCGGACAGGCCAGACAAGCCCCTAAAAAGCCAAACATGTCCGGCTAAAGCCGGACGCCTGGCAACCCTAGGTGGGCAGGCCTCCCACTTGTGGACCGACGATCTGGTAAAAGCATAGGGTGAAGGTCGCGGGTACAGTCTGTAAGCGGGCAGAGCGCAGGACCGGTAGATAAAGAAATTCTTGGGGGAGGCCTTTGTCCAGCTGTGGATATCATTTGGCTGAAACGAACGACGATGCCCACATTATTTTTTTCGTATTTTTATTTCGTAGCTTAAAATCCATAGAGGAATTCCTCTATGTTATTTTCATCTAACTATAAAGCTAGTATTCATACCAGCTATTTTCAGTAACTCATTTATTTCTAAAAACTAACCCCGTAAATATTAATCCACAGATTATGTAAAAACACGTCATTGCTCTAATTTGACGTTTGCGTTGGCAAGTTTTCAGAATCAGAAGATTTGTAAATTTTCCAAAAAAGCTCGAATAAAATAGGTCTAAACAAATATTTACACAATGAAATTCAAGGCATTACTATGTTTAGTAGTAATCCTGACTTACAACCAAGGTGAAGCGCAGAATCGGGCTAAAGGGGTGCGTTGAAATCTTGCAAGTGCAACGTTACGTTTCGCTTCAGGCGCCGGTCTTTTGGAATTTAATAATGATATGACTTTGAATTTTAGCTTGAGGAGAAGCTGCAGCAGCTGGCTGATATGACAGCGAAGCGGTCGATCATCCCGCTGAATTTCAATAAGTTCAAAGAGTATGTGAAGTCGCCTCCGAGGGATTATTCTTTCATTGTGATGTTCACGGCCATGGCCCCAGCTCGCCGCTGTACGATCTGCCAACATGTCTACGACGAGTACATGATCGTGGCTAACTCCTTCAGGTTCTCTCAGTCGTACAACAACAAGCTATTCTTCGGTATGGTTGACTTTGATGAAGGTTCGGATGTTTTCCAAATGGTATGTAGCATTCCTCTTTGTGCCCATAATCCCTATCAGTTCCTCAATTCTTAACTAACTACAGATTTATTATCAGTAATGTTATTGTTCTTGTAAGAACATCTGGTTATACAGTTATTCTAATAAGAAAAGAGGTTTATATTGTCCCTTGATCCTCCATATTTGTGACCACGAAGTTTACACTGTACTTTACTAATTAGTATACAAAACCTTTCCAGCTCCGCCTGAATACAGCCCCAGTGATCATGCACTTCCCCGCCAAAGGCAAGCCCAAACCAGCAGACTCAATGGACTTTGAGCGTGCTGGTATCCACGCTGAAGCTATCGCCAAGTGGATACAAGACAGAACTGATGTGCAGGTACAAAAATTACCATATTTCCATAACAGTTAACTTATTAGGTATCTGACAATTTATGATGAATACATCTTATGATACAAATGAATGCCTAATTCAAAATAAATCAACAAATCCTCTCTCTAATCTCTTCATACACATATTATGTTGTAAAACATAGATTTTAATTAAATTTAATTGAACTCTTGTAAGGGCACATAAAAATTGTCATAAAGCTTTTATTACTTACCAAGAGTGTTCATAGTAAATACTTATCCATCTATGAATTAGAAAGAACTAATAGGATTATTAGTTGTTTATAAACTTTTTTTCTTCTAAAATGCGTATTTTCTTAACATCTCTGGTATTGAGACTTTTTGATCCTTATTTGGCTTAACATTATTACTTCTGAGAATAATCGGAGTATTTTTTGACATAACTGAAAACATTTTAATTAACATTATTTCTGAAAATAATAAATAATAATAGTTTATTTCTAAAAAACCCAGAACCAAGAAGTAATATTATTATAAAAAATGTGTTTCCAATTTCTAATTAGACTTTGTTACATTCCAGGTCAGAATATTCCGTCCACCTAACTACTCAGGAGCAGTAGCCTTTGCGACACTCTTCATTCTGGTCGCTGGATTCTTGTACCTCCGTCGCAACAACCTCGAGTTTCTGTACAACAAACAGATGTGGGCAGTGGCAGCTGTCTTCTTCTGCTTTGCGATGGTCTCGGGACAGATGTGGAACCAGATCAGAGGCCCACCGTTCTTCCACAGGACCAAGAACGGGCCAGTTTACATCAACGGTGGCTCCCATGGACAGTTTGTGCTGGAGAGTTACATAGTTGCTATTCTGAGTATCCTTTTTACAAAGAGAAATTAATTGGAGATTTTTACTGTCTTCTGAATCTTACAAATAGCAAGCCAGTGGTTTTTCAATAGGTTAACATTTGCTTACTGATAGTGAATTTTTATTATTAACTGAATGCATAAATAATCAGGTTTCACTCTTAAAACTAACAAGGCTATATATTTTTAGTATATTACTTACTTTCAATACATAGGACTAATCACTATTATGGGCACTGCTAAATGACGAGAGGGCTGATAGGGATGTAAAATCTATCATGTCTAAATTGTATCATAAATACATACATACTTCAGTATATTTCCTTAGCTTTCCACCACAGATGGGGCAGTGGTAGTTGGAATGATCCTAATGATAGAAGCGGCGGGAGGCGTCAAGAACGAACCGGCGCGCGCTCCGGCTGAAGGCAAGAGGCGCCGCTTCCAGTCCGTGGTCGGGCTAGTTCTAGTCTGCGTGTTCTTCTCTCTACTTCTGTCTGTGTTCAGAGCGAAAACACAGGGGTATCCTTACAGGTTTGTAATGCTTCGACATTCTTTAGTGTTGGTTGACACAATTATTTATAGTACTTTATCAAAGAATTTATTTGGAGAAAAAGAAAATACTTATTTACGTTTAGTCAAGTCTCTTTTGGGAAGTTTAAGCCTAGGCGCAGACCACCGACTTTTAGTTGGCCGATAGTTGGGTCGGGCTGTTAATCAGTATGGAGATGTATGAAAGTGGGCACACTACACCGATTTGTTATCGGCCGATTCTTCATACAAATTAGAATCGGGCTCAACTATCGCCCAACTAAAAGTCGGTGATCTGCTCCTAGTCTTAATGAAAGACCACAACCCAAGTATTTGACTATCTTATGCCCGTTTTCACCATCAATCCCCAATTTTTAAGTGACCTCTATGAAAACAAAATGCCTGTGTGTTAACATAGGGGTCACTTAAAAATTAGGGATTGATGGTGAAAACGGGCATTAATCTTAGATATTCTAAAATTTTAACATCAAATAAAATTATTTGACTAACCTTGACTAAGAGTGATTTGTTATTGCAATATTGCATTTGCATAGAGGTATGCAAGATTCAGTGAATGTTGTTTAGTGCATATTGCATAATACTTGACAAGATTTACACTATTTTATTCTCTTTGTTTCAGTTTCCTGTTCAAGTAAAGTAAGGTGATAGCAGTGTGTGCACTTATTTTGTGTGTGTGTGATGCAATATTTAATTTCCATTTTAAGCTATGTTGAAACAAAATAAAAATATTGTTATAACAAAATCTTTCTTTATAATATAATCAATGTTTTACATTACATTTCTTACCAATTAAAATAATTTATCTTAAATATAATTGAAATTTGAATAAATATTAAGAGCCCCATTATTTTCAAGTTTTATAGTCCTCATTTAACAGTCTTGTAATTATCATTTTACTACTTATTCCTACTACAAATAGACATTAATCAGAGATTTTCTCAGCTCAGACCTGTCATAGAACATGAGGGAAAATAGCATTCCTTTCCTTAGGGTAATTCTTGAATGTCTTCTTATACCACTCATGTGCTTGAATAGCTGTTTGTATCTGGAAATAAAAATAATTCTCAACTATTAAATCAGACATAAAAATATACATCATAACAACTTTACTAGTAGTTACTTTATAAAATCCAATGAATAATTGGTTTTCATATGCTCAATCATAATTAAACTGATTTAATCTTATTTGCAATTTACCACAACATACCTGATTTGCCAGAACCCACAGATAAATGCAGAAAAATGTCTTAGTTGGGATCAAAAGCAGGAGAACTGTATACATCAACAACTCGCACATCCTGTGTGGACTAGACACATATTGGAACATTCGCCCTTTGGGCAGTCCATGATCTTCTGTGACCACTTCACCGGACTTCTTGTCTTTTCTCAAGTTTGCAAAAATCAAGTTGCTTTGGTATTGTTCGTACCAGGCCCAGAGGAAAACGGCAATGCATGGACCAGCCAAGACCTTGGTTGATGTGTCATTCCAGTTTACATTTTCTCTGTTTTGGGAACCTGGAATTATACCGAAAAAAATTGATGAGGCTACATTCCTATGAGGAAATTGGTTGTTGGAGGTTGAATACACTTTTGAATTGAATTATGGCCTATTATTATAGTATCAAATAACTAAATCTTTCTAAATGAGCTCTTAACTGTTAGGACCTAACAACACCAGAAAAAAGTTAAAGTCTAAATAAGAACAGTTAAGTCTATCCTCGTAGCGCCCACGCGCCTTTTGATAACCCAAAATAAACATGGCGACTACAGCCCAGAACTTTTTTCAACTAACTTTCAATTACCGCCCATGCGCCTTTCAGAAGGCCATATTATTAAACTTTGTCTAGATTTTTGAAATTTCGCGGCTTAAAGAAATAATTTAATTCGATTTCTGAACGAAATATTAGGGAACAGTTTCCGGTATGCTACCATTGGCTGTCACAATTGACAGATGGGATTTTTTGAAAAATGGCCGGCGGTATGGACGGCTCACTAACACGTAGTTAGTAAATCGCATTTTTTATGATAATCCGTGGTTGTCGAGTATGTTTTTATGCAAAAAGTTGCTAACGAATAGGTATTACTTAAATAGAGATAATTACTTTGCATTTTTAGGGCAGAAATTCTGCGAAATCTTGGTTTGAAATAATATGTACTTTGTGAAGGCGGTTGGGTCGAAGCTAGTACTAAAAATATCATAATATTTTTAGTTTGTGGCTTTGTGTTATATTGGTTTATGGAATATTACTAATATAAAAATGCAACTTATCTTTCACTAATAATTAATTTAATTAATTAATTATTTGTCGGCCGTTTGGTGTAGTAGTTCTAAAAGGGACTACTATGCCGAGAGGTCCCGGGTTCGATTCCCAGCCGGGCAGAAATTGAAATGATGAATTTTAATTTCTGTGATGGGTCTGGGTGTTACTAGTATAATATGTATGTATTTAAAACGTATATAATGTAGTATATCCGTTAAGCGAGCACCCATAACACAAGCATATTAATTGCTTACTATGGGGCTAGATAGCGTTATGTGTGAAATTGTTCAAAAATATTTATTATATTTATTATTATTATTAATTTAATACTCTTTACACTACTAATTTTTTGTATTATATAATTTTACATCACTTAATACTTCCTTTTAATCTAGAATTTGTGGCCCGATGGGCTTTGTAAAGAACAAAAGGTAGACAAATAATTGAATTTAAAAACACATGCTAATATAATCATAATTATACCCTGAAAGTTTCACTTCAAACCGGTAACTCTAACACATACGAATTTCAACTCAAAATCTTGGGCTGATAGGACTATAACTATAAGTCCTATAAGAAGGACGGTCGGGTCGTAGTTAAAGAGGATCCAAAAAATCCGTGGGCGCTACGAGGCTATAATAATTCATACAGAAGACAGTTTCTTACCACAAAACAGTGGCCCTTGCCCCACAGCTGCCACAAAGCAAGCGAAGTAATGAATGATTCCCGCCAAGTAGTGGCTCAGGTTCATTCTGCTGGACTTGGCGAACACCTGCACGAAGTATGTCTCGTAGAACCTTCTCACACATTGCACCATGAGCAGAGACATTACTATCATCACTGCCGTTGCAGACACTGAAATTAATGAATGATTTTAATAAGTAATCCTTAGTGGATTTTCTTATAAAACTTAAGTCATTAATTACTAATAAGGACTTGTAGTACCTACTTGCAAATTAGTTTATGCTTTGAATAATTTCTCCTTCCTCCTCCCTTCTTTTTTGTCACAATTTTATCTAAGTAGTTAGTGGAATAATTGGATATCCAATAGATTACCTTACTAATTTTTTAGGAAACAGAACTACTATGTACTTAAAATCCAATTAATGGGGAAAAATACTTGACACATTTACCTGAAGGTTCATCCTGCTCAAGAAATATCCTCAAGAAGAACGAGACGTACTTGTGTACACCGTAGTTCAGGTAATAAACAGCAAATATGTAAATTAGAGTAACACTTCCGAAGCACGTAGCGAATAGATAAAAATGTCGGTACCATGACTTAGGTATCTCAATTAACTGTAGGAAATTCGCATCAGAACCTTTGTAGGCGAAACTACCGTACCTAAACCCTTTAATTATGAACGCCGGCACATGTTTCTCGAAGTTATTAATGAGAAAACCCGTAAAAGTCACTGCAGAAGCCAATCCTAAGAACGCTATGTCCAGGATATTTAACATGGTGGTGTGTGTTCACTTCACTTGCCGCTATACAAATGTCCGGCATTGGGCCAGCCTTAATTCAAGTCTTAAAACATTCTAAGTAACGGGACGACCGATGTTTAGTTTAAAACTTTCAATATTTGACCCACTTTTCTGTGGTGGGAGGAATCGAGGAAACAAACACCTGTCAACAACAGTCGACTAACTGACAGTGACAGCTGTCATTATCAGCTGACTGTTTATTTTTTCTTACTGGCAATGGCAATAAATTAATTTAAGGGTCTTCACCAGAGAGCAGAAATAACTGCTCTCTGGTCTTCACGGTGAAAGGACTTGACTTTTATTAAATTATTGTTTTTAAAAACGTTTATATAATAGAAGGGGATATTGTATGCATAAAATGACTAAAGTGACGACTCAGGTAAAACCAGGAGGTCTTGTAGCAAAAGGTGTCTGATCTCTTCCACCTACTTACAGATTACTAAAAATGGTAGTTAGCAGGCAGAATGGTTTTTATAACGTTTTATCTTATAACGACCAGTACGACCACACAAGCAGAAGTAAGTAGGTATGTTGTTTACTCTCACCATCTCTCCTATCCTATAGTATAAAATAACTAACAGAATCTAAAGGAACATTGTCGGCGCCAAGACGTCGGGCTCCGGCGGCGTCGGACGGGGCGCAGCGGGCCGGAACACACGATGTGACGGGTGCGAACCACTAAGCTCACTCGCAGGTACCTTTAAATTTCCATCGTAAACAAATTTTAAGTAAATTATTGTCCAATGAATTCAAGATTATTAAAATACAGGGTGTGAAAGTTACACCAGTTACACTGTTACATTTACAGCTACAAGTAAGGTATCAAAATTGTAGTCATATAATCACCTTTATCGCTGAACAACGGAATAAGACCTAGAACATAATTAAAAATCAATAATATTATTATGGTCATTGTTATATGAACTTACACGACTCCTACGCAACCAGTCGAGCAATAAGGCAGTTTTATGAGATTTTGCGGATGAATTTTTGAAGGAAATTGCTACGAGAGAACAAACAAACAAACGGATTCTTATTCTAAGTGGGACCTGGGATCTAATCGAAGCAGCGAATTGGCAGATAATAATATTTTGTAATAGGTATAAACTCAATTATTAAAATTCCTTCTAATAGAACTATTCGATTGCAAATTGCAATAGGCCGTCCGTCCAGCTATCGAAGAACACATAAAACGATTTGAATTTGATTAAATTAAATTTCTATCATTTGTTACCACTCAGCCCTGTAATATGGCGCCAAGGCGACGGCTCTGGCGACAAGCCGTTACGGCTGGGATATCGGAACCGACGGCTTGAACAAGTCGCACGATCCACTGGCTACGTAAAGGTTACACGATTAAGGGTGAACACTATTGTAAGAAATTAATATTTTTTTTCATATTACACTGGCTCTCAGGGTATCCAATAGAGTCATCATCAATCATCAACAGCCCTTAACAGTCCACTGCTGGACTATGAGCCTCCTCCACTATAGTGGAGGGTTTTGCCATAATCTCCACGCTTGGCAGGCGGGTTGGAGATCGCAGTTTAAAAGATTGATGTTTTTCAGAGAGCGCTGCTGCCCATTCTCTGTTTGATGTGTAGTCCCTAAGTCGCCTCTTACGACACCCGCGGGAAGAGTAGGGGTTGGTGACAAATGTATTCTACTCTGCCGTCACCACACGGCTTCCAATAGATCCAATAGAGTAAATGGGTCTAAAGACAATTATAGTTGCAAAGTTGCAATGCGACCAGAGCACATTTGGAATTGAAGTCAGTTCAAAGTCGATTCCTATACCTGTAGACAATCGTATTATAGTATGTAATTTTAATTATTTACTAGTTAAATTAGTTCACGAATTATCTGGGTCTGCTGGAAGATGCCAAGGGTATTTCGCATTTGTAACAAAAATAGTCACAACATGACAATGTGCCGGCGACGATTGCCATGATTATCATCTTGAACGTACAAGATTTGTCCATTTCTAGCAAAACTTGTTTTTCCTAAAGAAAGGGATAGTCGAATACAGCGAGTTATACCCCTAACCTGTTGTACACTCACCTACATTTCCACCTGAGAGCACAGCCTTCACGAGAGCGTTCAGGATTCATTAGGATCCCCTTAGGAACCACGGCAGGTGACATATTGTTGAATATTAATGGCACCCTCTGGTGATCGCGGGTATAAAATGAGGAATCGTACGTGTTTGAACACATTCGAAGTTTGGGAGAGATCAAGAAAGCCGCTCTACTAGCAAAGGTAAGAGATTATAGTTATTTGTAATTTGTAAACCTATATTTCAAAATTTCTGGTGTATCTACTGTACTGTACTGTTTGTAGATACATGATGTACCTATGCTTTGCTATACCATTGTGTTTCAATGGAACAACAAAGTCAGGAGTTTCCCTGAAGTAGGTACATTAAGTGGAGAAGTTTAAAACTTTATTTGCCGCTGCAGTTTGATATTATGCATTTAAAATCAAAACGTCGTCTCTCTTTGAGGGGTTGTATATTTGACAAAACTTTTTCCAGTAAACTATGGTCTTTTTGAACATTTGTTATGCCACGGCAAAGAGGACTCTTGTTAAATAGTTTAGGAAGCTAAGCGATGAGCGTTTCTTATAATCGATGTTGATTAGTAAAATCCCTATCTATCTTGACTAATGCCTCGACTATTTTAGTTAGGGGAGGCCTATGTTCAACAGTGGACGTCATAAAATGATGATGATGAAAAGCACAGAATAATATGTAAAAGGCGTTAAAAAACTTATTTTAAAGCTGTTCATAGTCAAACATGCTTTAAAACTAGTCAAACTTATTCTTAATCAATGGAATCTTCCAGATGAAGTTCCAGCATCTCTTCGCCGTGCTTGCATTCTCCGTGACCATCTCGTACTGCACCGGCCATATTGGCGGCGGGCAGCTGCTGCAGCAGAACGAAGGACCCAAGATGTACTGCGGCAGGAACCTGGCTCGGATGCTGGCGGTGCTGTGCTTCGATGAGGGCAGCATGGGCAAGCGGTCGGAGTCGTCGGGCACTATGTATGGTGAGTTGGATCATACTGTTTATTACACACCACAACCAATTGACAAATAAATAGTACGAGATACGAGATATTCGAGATACGAGTTAAACGATATACGAGAGGGGACCGTCAGATACCCTACGACCGTAAGATTGTCTTATTATAAAGTAACGTAGTGTATCTTACGGTCCCCAAAAAGAAATGCAAAATTTAAGTGTCACAATTTAGGCAATCTTATTGCTAGGAAGGAAAGCTACAGAAAACCCAGCCCTAGCTGGTTGGACAGTCGTTTGAAATAAAATGGTTAGATAAAAAACGTTGGTGCAAACTATTTTAAAGTTTAAAATCACAATTTGTACTTCGCGGTCCAGTACAAAATGTACAAGATGCCATATTGCAAGCTAGAGTGATTACTTATTAGATTTAAAGCGATTTAAAATCATTAAGTTACTGTTTCGTGGCTAAAATCATAAATGCCTAACCTAACAGCCTAGTAATATAAGATTTTAAACTTTCGCATTTCAACTAAAATAGAGACACCCAGCCCAAATAGCCCAGTAATTCATCTCAACTGAGTTTTAAGCATACCTACGTCACAAGAATTTTTTTCAACATTTTCAGAGGCAATCCTGTCGCCCTACTACAAAACCCAGGATGTAGACCCCGACTGGCCCTGGATGTCGCTGCACAAGTCCCGAAGTCTCGGGTTCCCTTCCCGCGGCAAGCGATTCCCCGGCGTCGTCAACGAGTGCTGTGAAAAGGCCTGCAGCATCAACGAACTAATGACTTACTGCTAATTCTTCCCTACTATTTAATTATTTGACTGTCCAGCTTATTCATAATCCACGCCTTTTACTATTGTGTTGTTTAACAGTAATTTCTTATTTAATCAACGAGCTCTAACCGATCCATCCGTAGTAGTAGCCAGCCAAATTGTACATACGCTTCTGTAAGTTAGATATTTTTACTGAATATGCTCGTAATCCTATAGGTGACTAAAACGCATCTGATATACAGCATGTTTCCATACAGATTGACAGCCGTAAATTATTGTAGAACTAGGGCCCGGGCGACGGCTGATAAGTTGTATGAAAATGTTAGAGTCACGCTGGCTGTATGTCAGAGGCTAAGGTAGATTAGCATTTAATAAATTATGTTGACATCAACTATGTCAGTCAACGCTACGAGAGCTTATTAGATAGATGTTAGTCTGCAAATTGTACTGCATATTTAGAAAATTTAACATAACTATATACGAATTATATCGAACTTAATTAAGAAATATTCGAACTAGCTTTCCATTCGGTCAAAGATCTACTACAAATATATTTTACCATTTCAGAAGAACTTAAATGTAGTACACGTCTTCCATTTACAGCTTCAGCTATCAAATAAAAAAAGAATTTATTGTCTATTTAACTACCTAGTCTTTAAGAATTTATTACATGTATTAAACAACTTCATTTCTAGTCATGTACTCATTAGAGTAAGAATTTAAGAGCACAGTGGAGACATCTAGATGTGTCCTGTGCCAATAAACAAAGCCTTCAAAGACATAGCTGTGGTAAGGTAGGTAGTTAGCTTTAGGCAAATTGAAGCTAGAACTTCTATGTGTATACTTATTTTACCTCTGTCCGCAGCCCGTAGTCGTAGGAAGTAGAGATTAGGAAACGGGTAGTTGTAGATCGCAAATCTCAGCTCAATTATAGTAAGTGTACATAAAATTACCTGCTTTTGGCCTTATCTGTCGTCTTCAATGCTAAAGGAATTGTAATTAAGAATAAATAAATTGGTGTTGCAATTATAACGTTATTTCAATTCAAGTAAGACAAATACTAAATTACTTTAGGAACGGTGTCTTTATGGATTACTTACATGGAATTGGTTAATTAGTTTGTCTTAGAATTTATATTATTCTAAGGTAATTTGAATTGCGTTATTCACAGAGCCTAAGTTAGACTTATTTATGTTCTTTGTAGCTGAGTAAATGCTTAATTACTTTGCATAAATTGCGTGGGTACATATTCTTTTAACCCTATTCTTGTCTCTAATTGAAACTCAGAAGTATTTAAAACTTCAGTTGTCAGAATTTAGCTCAAAAATAACACTTTCAGCTAGGAAACAAGGATTATTTCAAGGAATTGTACAATTAAAAGATAAAAAGGCATTGTATATTTTTAAAACTTTTAAGCACTGGGTGCATGTGAAATTTACTAATAAATAAAATGCTTTCGATCTGGCAACGCGCGTGCGATATTGAATTTCAGCAGATGGTTGCATTCGCACAAAATTACAGAACTCATCGAGTAAAGTTACAAAATCAAATGTTATAGAAAAATGATGAGGGTATTTGTCAGTATTGATATTAGATAAATTACCACATTTTTATAAAGGTAATATTGTGCAAATGCGGGTGGGTGAAGAAAATTAATCGCGCCGGAACAGACGACGCCGCATCTCTTCAGTCTGCCCGCGATCATAACTCGTGCAACCGAGTTGAAACGTCGGGAGGGTAAATATCTGTTTACCTTTGTAAAAGTGTTTTGTTGCAAAATCCCGTAACAGTGATAATTAATAGTGAAAATGCTACATAATAGTTTAAAATATCATATTAGATAGTCGCCAAAAACGTCAAAAAGCTTGTGTTTGAAGAAACGCGATATAATGATGGGAACGGAGCGACTTGTGTGAATACTTTATTGGTGAAAGAGCTTTCAAGGCGAGCTGTCTGGAGCGTTGCATAGCGCCGCTTTGCCGCTTGGTACCTATAGCTATGCTAGCGCAGCATCGGGTTTGCATGACGTAGCCGGCAGACGGGCGGGAAACGCAGTCGTGAGTAAGTTTTATTTTAAGTTAACCTTACTTATTGCTGGCAATGATTATTCATCATCATAATTTCAGCTACAGGACGTCCACTGCTAAACATAGGCTTCCCCCAATGATTCCAAATTGACTTGACTTCCGCAATGAATGTTGTTGTACGCTTTTCATTTTGAAACTCTTCGCAGGTAAGATTACATTATTTTTTGACTCACGATTCGTTTCACTCGAAATCAAAGAAATCGTTTTGTGGCTGCCGATTTCTTTGTACAATATTTTATAAAATAAATATGGTTTTGTTCTGATTGAGGGTGCAGAAGGTCGTTGGTCCCATTGAGGTGTTCTCAAAAGCTCTTCTATCCAATACAATTTGACACGAGAGCTTTTACCAACCACCAATCAACCAACCACTTAGTAAAATGATGAAAAAGCTACTACATAGGCTTTAAATAGTTTTGTCGGGTCGTTTCAACCGCTCGTCTGCCCACATTTACAATAACAAGTCAACATTCCGTGTTGCTTTTTTCGCGAAAGGAGACACTGCACTTAACATATAAATTAGATGAGCCTCAGAACGCTGGCTTTAATTTTAAACGAACTTTGTGCTGCTTACATTAACTTAAGTGCAGTTATCATATACCTACGGCATTAGTAAGATTGGCTTTCTTTTGATACTCGTGAACGTAAACGTGCGGTTTCTTATTAAAGTGTTTCGGACAAAGTACTTTAATTCAGTTATTGTATATAATGTAATGTATAATATTTACTTGTATTTGTTTTTCCAACATTAACAATTTGATTTCATTTGGTTCCATCTGGTTCCATCGATAACGAGAAGAAAAGTAAGAATTTCATTGTTGAGATTATCTTTCATGACTTTTAGTTCACTATTTATTACATAGTTAGGTAAAGTATTTAATAAGGTGTTGCTTCAAATTATAGCATCTAAGGCTGGGTTGCACCATCTTACTTTAACTTTGACAAACGTCAAAAATCTGTCAAAATCCATACAAAAAACACCGATTATCGTCAATATTACGGTCAAAGTTAGGTGGTGCAACTCTGCCTTAGGCTTCTAAGGAGAAGTTTTGGCTGGTTGCATCTGGTCTAACTAACAGCATTGCCATTTACCCACATGCTGGCAAGTCTAGAAAAAGTATAGCGAAATAAATAAAACGCTTTTATTCTTTCTTGGTTTTAACCAAAAAGTTGTGTCAATTCTAGGGACTTTTACATAGAGAGAACTGAGGCGATTTATCTGACCTGAAAATGAAACAAAATTACTGAAAGACCACCTAAGTACAATATTAATTGTTATAATAATTAAAACGATTAATTTATTTACGATACACTCATAGAATCGGTAGTTTATTATCGCCATTTTTGTACAAAAATTATGTAGGTTTATGTATATTGTAGTTTGAGATTAGAGAAGGTCGTGCTGCTCCATTGATGACTAAAATCACCTTATGATGAAGATTCTGTTGTGCGGCCGATTGATGTTAGTGAAAATGGACTATTGACCGCCAATGAAATAATAATAATTACTCAAATATCCTTGTACATTTTACACTGCGCCTCTAGTCCCAAACTAAGCAAAGCTTGTCCTATGGGTACTAACTAGCCAACGGATATAAACATACTAATTTTTTTATTGTAAATAAATACATACCTATTATATTATTATGGTGCGTCCACACTGAGCGAACCAGCGTGCCGCGTGAGCCCATTCGCCCAATGTGGACACACCATTATGAAAACCTAGGAAAGGCTAGTCAAGCAGAGTCGTCGTGTGTAAACACCTTCAGGTCCACACAAGGAGTGGGATCACTGCAGTAAATAAAGCAACAGCCATTGCCAGCCAGTGCAAGTTGCGCGCGTGTTATGAAAAAAGTTCCGATCGGGGCGCAGTTCTACGAACTTTGCCTCTATTGCCGGTAGCCTAAGAGTATTTGTGTTTTTACATAGCCAAAGCTAGGAAGTTGGAACTGTGTCATGTAAATTAGTAATTTTGCAAACAAAGTGTACTCTTCTGCAAACAAAGTATCTTGTTTGATAGCAGAGAACCTACTTGGTATTATCTCTGAGCCAGTTGTATAATTATTTAGTTTCTAAAGACTATTGGTCTCCTGACAAGTCAAAGTTTTTAGCACACCTAGTGCTCCTAGTCAAAGAACAAAATCCTTTTAAACATTTACTCGACCCGGAATAGAACCTGCGACCATTTATTGGTTTTGTTATTTTACCGTTTATTCTTGAGATGATGAGTATCTTAATATTGTTGTATTAATAACAACAAGATGATACACGTACTGTAATACGAGTACATAATTATGTAGAGGGTGACTCAAGCATCACACAGGAAATAGTCGCGACTCGCGACGCAACGTCAGCAGAAATGCAACCTCGACCGGATATCTTTCGATGATCGCTACAGATTCTCCAATTTATTGCTCACGCTAACTAAGAAGTATTATGGATGTGGTACTCGTATCACCAAAGTTGTACCGAGGTTGTAGGTATCACTTCTAAGGCTGAGTTGCACCACCTAACTTTGACCGTAACTTTGACGACAACCGGCCTTTTTTGTATGGAATTTGACAGATTTTTGACGTTTGTCAAAGTTGTAAGATGGTGCAAACCAGCCTAAGTGATAAAGAAAATGATTGTTTCATATTAAGCATCTTACTGGGTTTGCACATTGAAGTAATATTACTACGTAGTACATTATAACTCAATGGGTTTGCATTGGTATTTAGTTATAAGTAGGTATTTCGATTTTATAACATCAGTCTTTTGTATAAAAACCAATCAATGTTCTAAACTAAGCTAGGTTTGAATTGAGTCATACCGTGCGTTTCATAATAAAATATGAGCCTGATATTATTCCGTTATCATTTATTTCTAAAAATGCATTGGCAAAGAAAATATATTTTTTGTTCTATTGATGTCATTTTACTTTCATTTGTTACTGCAAAGAAGAAAATCCCAATTCCAACCTTATACCCAAATGCTTTTATTGTTAATCCATGTCGTGTAGAAGGGGCGTCTGCAGCTCTTGGGGAGGATCGTGCCTTATCATTCAGTCCTGCGGCCCTCTGATTCGAGGGTTTAAAACACCTGCCTAACCAAATACGGGGTGCTCGTTATGTTTTTGAAAAGTGATTAAACTTTCCTTTGACTGTGCAAAAATTAAAGTGGTTGAAAAAAGAAATTAACGCCATTCATTATTAAAAAGAGATGGTTGTCTTTGGGCTTCTTATATAATTATTTTTTTGGTTCACGGAGTAGTAGGTGTTATGTTTTAGGCTCTCTTAGATACAACACATGCCAAATTTCACCTGTCTAAGTAGGTATTACAAATAATAACTAAGATACCAGACTTAGTTATCATCATGATGAACCGTGGGGAATCGTACGTACGATCAACATAAAATAAAAA